TAGAATTTAAGAAGTCAAGAAATAGAAATGTAAGGAATAGAGTTATATAAATAGAGAAGAAACAAGAAAAAAGATAAGTGAGAAAGTAAAGAATGAAATATAAAGAAATACGGAAGTAAAGAAGAAATAAATAAAGAAGAAGAAGAAGGTTGCAAATGGATATACAAAAAATGAAGTGAGAATAAGGTAATAAGAAAGAAATGAATATAGAAATGAAGAAGTAGAAAAGTAAGGAATAAAGTTAGAAAAGTGGAGAAGAAATGAGAAGAGAGATAAATAAGAAAGTGAAGAATGAAAGATAAAGAAATAAGGAGCTAAAGGAGAAATAAATATAAAAATAGAAGAAGGTTCGAAAGGAATAAGAGAGCTTGATTCCAAGAGACCAGTATAGGAGACCGGCTCGAGGAAGAATGAGCGCTCCGAGTCCGGCTGCCTCGATCGCTCCCCCCACCATCCGCCTGTTCCGGCTCACCGAGTCCTGCGCGCCGAACTTGCGCGCACACAATTTTGGGCAACTTCCAGTATTTCTAAATGTACTTGGCCAGAATTTCCGATTTCCAACTGTTAATATTTCATTGATTTCATTAATTATTTTAATGTTTCAAACACCTAATTTATTTACGATTTAGTGAAAAAAGTAGAAAAAGCAGGAAATATAAGGGAGCGAAATGGGCCCCTCCCCGCCCATTTCCGTGAGGTCCTGCCTCTCCACAAGGGAGCAACGACCCCTCCGAGGCCCCATAGGGGACCGTCTTTTTTTTTATACAGGAAAACCCCCGAGTCCCGCGGCTGCCGCGCACAGGACTAGGGGGGAAAACCTCAAGTACATCAAGATCCAATAATATTTAGTAAAAATTGAGGTACTACACGGGTGTCATGTTGGCACTGCACTTTTTTTTAAATGTCTTAAAAATGTTTCAACAATACTCTTTTTCAATAGTTCTTGAGAAGTTCTATAATTTCCGGTCACGTTCTAAGGTTGCTTTGGGATCCAGCGGTGAGTAGCGGAGAACCTCTGCCCGCCAAGCTACACGTTCTTGTTCACGTTTAGCTCGGCTACGACGGGATTCGCATTGTCGACGGAGGCGATGATCACAAAATTCTACTTCCCGATTCGCCGCTACGATTTAGTGCCATGATTTTGGTATCGCCTAAAACCGTAGTGTGGTGGACCTTCCTGTTCTTCTCTGCCCTACAATCCCAAGCCTGTAATCACGAATTACGAGGAATAAAATGTAGTATGATGCGTAAAATCCAGAATTTCTCTGAAGATCCGAAAAATTCCGCTAGGTGGCGTGGAACGATAATTACCTCCAAAAATGGCATTTTCGTTGAATGTATTTTTTTAGTTCCAGACAATTTCACCGGACGGCCCTGTTGAGCACCTGCTATAATTCCTGATAATTCTCGCTAGAGAGCCTTGCCTTATGTATGGGCTTCCCGTCCTCTGGCAAGTGCTGCTTCCTGTTGAAAAGTATTCTTTTTCAAGAGAACTGCATAATATTTGAAATAAGAATTGTAATCAAACAAGATATTCCTTTATTTATTTACAATCAAGTAGACAACTATAATATAAAAGAATGAGGCTAAGAGAAGAGCGGTGAAAAAACACCCTCCGCATCTTTATAAAAAATAAGTATATGAAATATATTGCAAATTCGGCCAGTAGACTGGAAGATTAAGAATTGAGATTCAAGAGGAAAAAAAAGACAGGATTAGAAGAGCAAGAATGACTATGATTAGCTATCGGGTTCAATGTTATTTCCGAAATCTATTGGTTCCTGCAGTTCGCAGTTCAATCGAACAGCACGTGCGTCGCTCGTATGCTGGGGTAAAATTTAATTTGTACTTCGACGAGGATAAACGTCCCGCTGCTACCTTCGCTAACCTTACCTCATATATTTTTTATCCCTGTGTCTGAACAGCATCCCTGAGCCCTTGTTAATCAAGCACCCGTTTTTCTCTTTCTTTTTTCGACTTTTATACTTTCTCGTTGAAGAGAGTCGCAGGTGGAAGGCTTCAAGACAGTTCACGTAATATGGGAGAGCCGAAGGGCTCTTAAGGATCCTAAAAGGGTAGAAATTGTCCAGCATATCATGTAAGACAAATAAGTGCAACGGGCGAGGAGTCACCTGGGACGAAAACGACTTGACTGCCCGACCGTCGTATTAAATGGGAAGCGACAACTTGTTGGAAGCCAATTTCCTGGCGCAAATATTGACTCTGAACGTAACGTGATATCCTATGACATCTTCTAGAGTCCACTGTACCCTGTCCACCCTGTCCACCCTGTCCACCCTGTCCACCCTGTCTATCCAGTAAACGCTTTGCAATGTCAACGGCCACGCGCTCCTGTTTATTCTATTCTTCTCTGTATTTTTTTTTCTTTCGAGAAAGCAATACCCGACTACAGGAATCCAATATAATCAATGGACACCGTCGTTAGTGGGTGAAAATTATTAGTGCTGGACAAACCCATGATCAAAGTCACCTGCTGAGAACACATCGCTTAAAAATCGTTCGACAAACGTGTCAGTCGATATCTGATAACGCTAATTGAAATATCCGAGCGCCCCAGTATGGCGTGACAGTGTCGTATTCGAAAATCCCATTTAAGCTAAACCGTCGGAATTTAAACGAACCGAAAAAAAAAGCAAAGAAATCAAATACAAATGACAAAAATAGTTCGCAGTAGAATCTCAACAGGTCTTGTATTAGCAATAATTATTCTGCACAATTCAGAATGCGAATAAATCCAGCGTGGCGAGGTTCAGGTGTTTGTTATTCAAGTTGTTCACCCTAATAAAGAACGAGAATCCTACCTTTCAATTTATCCTGATCCTGGCTCAGCCCCATGGAAACATAATTAAATTGCTTCGATTGTCGGAGGTAGTCTGCTATAGACATTCTCTCTTTATCAACCTATTAATTCCGGTGTTGATCAGCAATCCCATTAACAGGAGTCAGTAAGTATGAGGCCGGTTTTTAGAATTCTCCTAATAATCAGCAGCCTCATCTCTCATTTCATAAAGATGATTCCTCTTGGCACTAGAGACAGAAATAGAGAGTGAGAAAAAAATGGTAGAAAAGAAAGAAATAGTTTTGATTATACATAATACAAGAGGGAAGCCGACGAATGCTCCAGGTGGATATCCACCCGCTCGCCCCCCCCCGCCCCCTATGAAAGGGGTTAAACAAAGCAATTACCTGAAAGACATCCCCACCAGGTCCGTGAAAAGAGAGTCACAGTAGTCCGGTGGGATAGAAGACAGCGCGCAAAATCCAACCAGCGAGAGCTTCCTGATAAAAGCAATTGTTTCGAGTGGGGTCCTCTGCGTCCTCTGCGATGCATTGTTCAAGTCTACAGTGCTACGACAGAAAGATCACACGCACCTTTAGTCATTTGGTCCTCGAAGTCAATGGGCTATAATGCAACGTAATACGCGAGTGCACTTTGTTTTATAATAAATAAAAAAAAAAAAAAAAAAAAAAAAAAAAAAAAAAAAAAAAAAAAAAAAAAAAAACGAGGCAAAATGATTCCCATACTTATTCTGGGACTTTTTTTCCACCCAACGATTGGCAGCGATATGGATGACATCATAAGAAAATTGGATGGGATCGGTAGGAGTACTTGTAAGAGTTGGTGAAAGGATGTGAATTTCTTCTGAGAATACTTTCCGGTACCATAATTCTTTCCAGCAAACAAGGAAGATTTGTCTGCTCTTCTATTGAGACGGATGAACGCAGAACTGATGTTGCTGAATCGCGCGAGTGCTGATCTTGAATGGCTGGAGGCCACTTCACCATCCCCGGAAGTGTCGCAGGAAACTACGAAGTTGTCTCACCTTAAGACCACTTGGAGGAATTTCTGGTGCGCGAAGACACCTAGGATCCACGTGGGACCTGCAGGAAGTAGGATGCTTGAGTTGTTGTGCAGAGGACCTAAATACACGCCACATCAGGCAAAGTAATTAGTCGTGATTTTAAGGGGGATTTTATAGAGGAGATTAATAATAAATGTCACCGTACACTCGCTAATGGAACCAGTGACGTTGCAGGGCACTCACGGCCATCTTCAAAGAGCTGTCTACGAGCTACGTGACAGCTACGGTCTGCAGAATCGAGGAGAACCAAGAGAAATGTTATAACGGCGAACCGGAACTGGAGAGACTCATGTCGACTTCCAGGTAAATAAAGGAAAAACATTACATTAGATTGCCAATCCTGAAAAATACTAAATTTAAGAAATGAGAGCGAATTACGTTGGGCCTGGACTTCCTGGAGGAACGAGATGAGCAAGGTGAAAGGTCTCTTCACGACTGCCGTTACTCTTCAAAATCTGGGGGCCCGGAATAATGGTAAAAATAAATGAAATCCTCACCTTTGCGTTGTCACCCTTAACCAGATCCTGCCGCAGGATATCACGACCTGGGTGAGTGCTGGCGCGAGGAACTTGAGAGTCCTCACCTGGAAACACTGGTGGATCAACTGTACCAAAGCGTGGAACCACTTTATCGACTTCTTCATGCTGTTGTCAGGTTTCGTCTGGCTGAAGTTTATCCTGGTCTGATTGATCTAAGAGGACCTATTCCCGCCCACTTATTGGGTACGTTTGATCCTGTAAAAATGGAAGTTTGTTAATTCCCTGGAATTCAACAAGAAGCCTCCGTTATTCTTTTGATCTCGTCAGGCAACATGTGGTCTCAGAATTGGGAATCCTTGGTGGATCTTTTGATGCCGAACGGAAACATTTTCGGGAACGTGAACGAAGCATTGATACGAAAGAATTACACGGTTCGCGATATGGTCGAAAGGGCTGAGGATTTTTATACGTCGCTTGGTCTGCCTCCGATGTCCAGAGAGTTTTGGGAGAGATCGATTTTCGAAAAGGACAATCGAACGAAATTGAACTGTCACGCCACAGCTGCCAATATGTATAAAAATGATGATTTCAGGTATGCGAAATATCGAATAAATTGAAGAATACATAATATCCTTTATAGCTTTAACTAACCTTAGGGTGCTCGCCTGTCTTCAAGTGTCTGCACAGGATTTTTACGTTATCCACCATGAAATGGGGCACATCCAATATTACATGGCTTACAAAAATCAACCGGCGATATTTATGGTGAAGCAGCTCATTTGATTGTAAGCTATATTTTCTACGTAGAAAATATTTTTATTGTAGGACGGAGCGAACTCAGCTTTTCACGAAGCCGTTGGGGACGCGATAATGTATGGCGTCCTGACGCCTCAGCACATGCAACGACTTGGTCTTGCCAACGATTCCGCTTTATCAAACGGCAAGATAGACCTCATTAGTGTGAAAGAAAAAAATTGTTAATCTTACCTTAATAATTCACCTGACGTAGATCTGCCACTGCTGCTCAAACAGGCACTGGGGAAACTGCCGCAAATGCCGCACGCACTGATAATGGACAAATGGAGATGGGACGTTTTTTCTGGGAAAATAAAGGATTCCTTGTACAACAAAGCTTGGTGGGAATTAAATAAAAAATATTTGGGTATCGAACCTCCAGTGGCAAGAAACGACGATTCCTTTGACCCAGCCGCAAAGTTTCACATAACAGACAATACTCCGTATATACGGTAAACTATAAATACTTCGGCAGAAGGACAACTGATAAATAATGCTATTTTTTTCAAAAAATATTCTAGGTATTTCTTGGGCTACGTGCTGCAAGTCCAACTCTTCGAAGGAATGTGCCAAGCGGCAGTTACGGGAAAGGTCGGAGATCCACTGTTTAAAATGCCTCTTCACAGATGCGATATATATGGTTCAAAGGATGCTGGAAGAAGACTCAAGTGAGTTAAGACTGTTTAAAAATGTCACAGTGGCTCAGCCTCTTTTATTTACAAAAATCGCTAGAAAAAAAGTTGTAATAAAAACGTCCGATGACCGTAGGATGCGCATGAGCGTGTCCAAGGCTGCATAATTACAAGTTCCTCCTATGTTTCTTGAACTAGATCTATGATGAGTCTGGGAAGCAGCGTCAACTGGAAGTATGCCCTGAGGACGATGACAGGATGGTCGACCTATCGGATGGAACCGCTGATTCGGTATTATCAGCCGATTCACAAATGGCTGAAACTTCAGGTCGACTACTATGACATCCCCGTCGGCTGGAACTGATACGACTGCGCTCACGATCCTAGGAAGGCATCCGTTTATAAGATTGGCTAGTGCAAACATTTGTACTGCGCTCTCGGATAGCCATCGATCTCGCCGAGAAATATTTTGGAAATTCAACATTGAGAATTCAGTCTGAAGAATCTTCTATTTTCTCGTTCTCTGATTTTGCTTTAATGTGACCAATCGTTGGGATCTCGTTGCGAACCTAATCCAGCATTCGTGAAAAGATCGAACTCCTCACGAGACAGAAGGGCATTCCGAACGTCCTCGAGGATTATCGTTTCCGGGCACCTAAAAGAATACCTTTGTAATTGAGCTTTTAAAATTATTTTTAAAAATTTTTAGGCTTACTTATTGCTGCTCCTTTGCCAGGCTTTGGCGAGGGATAATCGCGTCAAGTCTTCGACTAAACATTGTACCGCCTTCAAAAATGAGTAGACAAAAAATTATGAAATTATGTGTGTTTCGAGCATGACTCATATTGTCATTTTACATATAGTACGATGGAAGTTTACCTTAATAATAACGCGTCCAGCTGCACAATGACTTACGCCTGGAATTATCTCTTCCGGTTGAAGTCGTATGCCAATGTTCCTAGCAGTTTCGTCCACGAATGCATGAGAGGATTCGAGGTCACGAGGTAGCTCGAGAGCTATCTTTCTGTCCAACTGATCTTCGGGTTCTTCTTTGACTGAAGGAAAAAAGTATCCTGTTATAAAAGTTGCTGATCGTAAAATCTAATTGAGAATTGCACGCATGATCACCTTTGGCCTTAAGATTTTGCTGCACGACGTGAACGACATCCACTTCGATGTCCGAGTCCTGATCGTTCTGTGGATTCTTCGAGTCCTTCAAACTTTCTAGCCATTCGTTAAAGGCAGTTGGTTCGGTGGAGGTGGAGCAAGTAAGATCACTTGTGTCTGGCATCTTCTTAGTAGTTTTTACCGCTAGTCTTCCTATATCCAGTGAAAATCTGATTGGCGTGAAACCGTGAAGTCTCGCCCAGATGATGATCTCCTTGGCGCTCCAGAGTTCATCCTCGGGAAATCCTTTCTTCCTTAAGAAGTTCCTGACGGTCTTTGCTCTGCACCATTCCAAAGCCCGTTGCTTTCCGATGTTACAGTTGAAGAATTCTTCTTCGCTTCTACAAGCGTAGGGATGGATGCGCCTGTATTCGGCATCCGAAGCTTCCTTGGTTACCAAGGGTAATCTTTTTATGATGTATTTTAGTGTTCCCAATAAATCCTTTCTTTCCACTGCTTCTATGGACTTAATCACTTCCTCGTATGCTTCCTTTTTGCTGAGAATTTTATATTTGTCCTTTCCCAGTGTAACTTTTATTTTGGCAACTTTGCCGTTGTCCTGTGCCTCAGGGTTCAGAGTCTGTGCAAATTTCTTCACTTTCAGTTGATCTACTACTTCTTGCTGAGCACTAACGTCGTTCTGCACTTTCTGTTGAGCCTGCAAAGGACTTGCTATTTGTAAGGCCGGCACGCTGGACGTTTGATTCAGGAGTAAACTGTTGGATGGATTTATTTTGAGAACCATCGATTTTTGCGTATTTGTATTATTTGTTGGAGGCTTTTTCAAGAGACTTACGCCCCTCACTAGAGGAGCGTTGGACTTTATGCACTTGGCGTTTATCAAAGAGATCTTTTTATTGTCGGCTGGCAAAATTTCTTTGACTACAGATTCTTTCACTGCAGGAATAACACTCGATGTGCCTTCTTGTTTCGATTTGAGCAAGCTGGTGGCATTTACTGGTATCAATTTGTTATTTTTCAAAACAAGAAATTGATTCTTCTTCGCTGGTTCGAATGTCGGTGGTATTGTGATTTTCAAAGGTTGCAATTTCCCTGGCAAGTTTTTAACAGAGGTTACTAGTTTCTGCATCTCAATTTGTTGCATATTCTTGGTATCCTCAGTTTCTACCGGCGACACAGAACTTTGAATGTTTGCAGAGGCTTCTGTTTGAACTTTAACTGCAGAATTACTGGTATTTCGTGTTTTTAAATTCGAATATAATTTATTGCTGTACAATGCGGTGACTTTGTCCGGCGTCGTTGAGTTTTTCACATAAATTTTCTGTTGTAACATATTTCCCACATTGGACATTAAGAAAACCTTATCTGTGGGTGTCATTGCTTGAATTGGTTTTATCGCGACGCATCCATTCCGTAAATTTTCAAATTTTCTTCCTGAGACTTCTGAATCTGTTTTCACAGTTACTTTCACAGATTTCAATGGGCTAGACTTTGTATCTTGACTAGTATTTTTATTTGGATTTTCCATGTTCTTGACATTTCCAATGTACTCGTTGTCCGCCTTTGTGGTGCTTTCTTCGCAAAGAACAGAATCCTCTTTGCAGGCTGGAGAAGCCGATTCGCCATTGACTCCATTCTGCAGTCTCGTGTTATTACCATCCAGTACGATTCTATGTCTCATCATACCGGAAGGTAAATGCTCAATAGTGATATTGCTTTCTGCACTGTGAATAATTTGTGAATAATTTTGGCCGAGACGCTGTTCGCTACTCAAATAATCGTGATCAAATTCGACTGAAAATTTTCGTATATCATTTATTCCGAGAGGTTCGCGCTTTATGCTATTATTCAAATCAATCGATTCAACGGCTTTATTCTCAACAGGTGGAAATTCGTCTTTGACAACAGTCGCGTCTATGCAAACATTATTTTCATTGACAGGTGTTGAAGATTTAACTGGAGACAATTCTGCATCTATATTTGCATCAACAAGACGTGGCTTCATAGTTTTTATCCAGATATCGACTACTGTTTCAGAGCCTAAAATACAAATATTGACATGTGCTATTCATTAAAAAAAAAAAGTAAGAATCGATTAACATAATAAATTAAATCTTACCGAGTGTTTGCAGACCTGTGTAGGTACGGTCTAATTTTAGATAATGAATAATATCCATAGGTTTGTTTAAAACATTTTTAAAATGCAATTGTACTCTTAATGGAAATTCGCCCCAGCCCCGACGTGACAGATGAAACGGTGGGGATCTGAGAGAAATAAAAAAAAGAGTCAGTAAACTATCGAATGCTATGCTGTAGCTTACAATTCGTGACGTCGCGTAAGCTTTTTTGTTTTTCTATTCACTTACGTTACTTCAACGACGTCGTTGGGCTGATAACTCGGATGCAAAAAAAATCGGACTTTGCTGACAAAATTGCTAATATCCGCGTCTTCCTTGCTGCCGCGAACGTACATCGTCCACTTGTGGCTGGCCGCGTCTTCTCGCCAATCTGGCGGGATCCATTTTGAAATATTTCCAACTACAATCCTTTTTCGCACCTTATGATGAAGACCTCTCGAAGGACAAGGAGGTTCAGGAATTCCACTTTTTGGAGGAATGTAACGAGGAACTTTCTTTGCTGGCTCCTCTTCACTTTGAAGACTTTCGCAGGAACGCTTTGCAATCCTATGTGATTTATTTGAGTCTTCGTCGCATTGGCCAAGTCGTTTGCGAATTTCCGATTGGTCAGAATCCTCCTTTATGCTTGTAGAATTATTTACGTCCAGAAAACGCGGGTCCTTTGATGTTGATGGAACTGCTGGATCCGGAGATGGCGCCCTGTTATGTTGCTTGGGACTCTTGCCAATGAGCTGCTTTATGGCTGGATGGATTCGGCTTTGTTTCGATTCGCTCGACTGAGGCACCTGGCACTGTTTACGGTTGTAAAAATCAGTAATGATTACGTAACGCAACAAATGCAGTGTTTTTAGTGCCTTGTGCAGACGATTCTGAATCTGGAGGACTTCCTTTTCTTTTGTGTCGATCTCCTTCGAGAATTCCTTCTCAACGATGTCCGTGATTTTACGTGCGGTGTTGGCGCGAGCTGTCAAATATTACAGAAAAGTAAAATACCTGACTATTCTTCCCGTATTTACATTTGTAATTATATTTACTAAAAGAACCAGGTTTATTTATACACTTGATTGATCCACCTAGTAATCCTTTATACACATTTTTATGCAACGAAAGGAAATGACTGGGTGATCAGGGAGGGTTTGAGAACTCTTAGACCATTCCAATTTTTTAGATTGTCCATCAGTGGAATATATGCAGGCAAATATACAAATCATGTGAATAAATAAGACTGACTCGTTTAATACTCTGCTAACATACCATTTTCTTCGTACAACTTTTGTTGCTTCTCATCACTTGGAGCAGGAGTTGCATAATCGGGGTCCTGTTCATCTAACGTTTCCTTTATAGTATTCATATTTCTAATATTTCCCTGTAAATTAAATGCCATACGTTCCAGTGACTATATTCACAGCAGAATCACTTCAGCAAACACATAATAAAATAGCGTATACGGTACAGAAAACTACAAGCTTATTCCAAATACATTCTACGATAACTATCAACTCATGCATAAGAATGTTATTTAAAAAACTGACAGCAGCAAACATCGATTATAGATGGCAAAAAAACATATAGGTTATAGAGGTTATGTTAGCCAACAACAGCTATCATGCATAACATAGAACAATAAAAAAATATAAAAAAGCACTGTGTAAATTGTTATTCAGTCAAACCAATAACGAGCGCAACATAAGAAATTAACTAGAGCAAACAAAGCGCTCTACCCAAAGAAAACAAAAATAATTGACAGTAGTAGCAAACCATGGAAATGCTGTCAAATGTCTCTAGCTTGCCTGTGATCACGCTGCGGGGATATTTCCCAAGGGAAGTAGGGCAAAACGATTCCAGTTAGTATAATTCCCGACACGCTTTATATTCACACTAAACCGCAAGAGTATCTCCGGCTCTTGGAAAACTCGTAGAATCTCAGCTCCAGCCGCCATAACTCGTTTACTCGGCTCGTGATGCTTACGATTGAAGGAACCAAGCGGCATGGTGCTGACGCGCGTCGCATTGACGCTCCATCTGCCGGAAATTCTGTAAACTTGCAGTTGGTCGAATGATTCCGATGACTTCGTATCTTCTGCATAAATTCAATTACCGATCATGGGTAAACAATAAGAATAAAACGCAGCTCCTCGACATAATTTGACATGATCCCCTCGATTCTGTGTCGCAATATGATGAGCCATGTGAATTCAATACACGCAAGGAACCGATCTGCAAAACGCTTGTTGAATTCTTCTAGAAAAGAGAAAGTCGCTGCTTATACCCCTTGTGCTGTACATATTCCATCGAAAGGCATAGGCCCTTACTTATACCTCTCTTTTAGCGTTAAGAGACGTCTTTTATCGACTGCTATCTGCTGTCTTTTAACGACTAATAGACGTCTCTTAACGCTAAAAGAGAGGTATGAGTAAGGGCCTTAGAGTACAAAACAGCAGATGCCAAAGAAATTTATGTGGCATTCGCTTAAATAGATACCGAGTCAATTTTCACTGATTGTGCAGGAGTATAGGTTTGCGATGCAAAACCGGAAACGGCAGTTGCTCGCACCGCACCGCATCTCTACTTACTTCATATGTTCCTCCCGAGTTAAGAGGGAACAGAGGAGACTGTGCTATCAAAATATACCAATCCGCGGTAAAGTTTAGCTGAACTTTCACCGTCCGCCGACATCTCTTCCCACGATCTCGTCTCGTTGTGTTGTACAGTCTGTGCCACGGCGAGGAACTGTTATGAGTCGCGTCTCGAGAACCGAGAGAATCGAGAGAACCCAGAGCCACTCGGTGGACGCGAGGGATTCGAGTGCGAGGATTTCGCGCACGTTACTCTTATCTCTGTCAGTGCGAAGCAAATAAATATGGAAGTTGAAGGCAGGTTCATCGTGGTGGGTCATCATCCTGGACGGCTAGTAAAGTCTTCCAGTTCCCGATGAGCCTTGCGCACTTCGCCTTACCCCTTTACCGATTCTCCTGGGAGAATGTGAAAGTCGTCGGTCATCTGGTCATCCTTATTATGTACATAAGAGCCCAGAAGATGCTATAGGATATACATGGTGGAACGTCTTCTGGTCTACATCGCCGTAAACAGAATTTCTTTTCATGGAGTTGAAGCCATCGAAATAATTTTTCCCACGCCGTCTTCATAAATATCACTAAGCTTAATATCTGGATACACTATCACACGCGAGGAATCGATAATAAGCAAAACTACCGACATCCGCAAGACAGTAACAATAATTCTTTTCCTTTTTCGTATAAGCCAGAAGATTGACTTTCAACGAGGAACTCGAGGCCATTGCTTGCGCTTACATAGAGCAATGCTGATTTTATTTTTAGGCAGGTGCAGACCCTGCAACTCGGTTCGGTGCACACTGAGAGAGGCAGCAGTGCTCCCAGCATGCACTCCGTTGCCTGTGGAATAAAATAACCGAAAAATTACTACACGGACTCGAGTGAGATCCAAGCGGTGGTAATAATTGATCCGTGAAATAGCAAGAGAAGGAAGAGGCACAATCCCAGGAGTGAGAGGAAGACTCGCAACCAGTGCGAGAATCGGATCGTAGGAAACGTAGTGACTCCCCAGTGGGAGGATTCTCATAATTTCTCTTCCTAGGTTACGAGAGTGCCGGGTCGAAGGAAGAGCCACTCTTTTTCACGGTTCACCTCCTCCGTACTTTATTCGTATTCGTATTCATATTCACCCGAGCTGTACTTCCGCCTTCCTTCGAAGTCCTAAGACGTCCGACGAAATGGAATTGCCCTCTGCTTGGAATATGCCAATCTCAATTGTCGCACCTTCCAATCCGTTACGTTACACGCGTATTACGACATTAGGTAAGATGACACGTTGGATGGAAGATCGGATCTCAATAGCTTAAGGCTTTTCAGAAGAGTCGCGCACACGGCGCAAGCCTTAAGAACGTTCACAAAGTAACGTGCACGTCTACTTGAGTGGTTAACGCCGTTCGAAAGAGATATGCTCCTACTTGGTCTTTTTCTTTTTCTCCATTTTCACACGCAAACGATTAGCATCTGTTCCACATAGATAGCCGGGCATTGTAGATGCCTAGCCATTGTAAATCGAGGATATACCGTGCAGACGGGATGCGACTACGTTCTCGGAGCAACCGGAGCAACCGGAGCAACCGGAGCAAAGTTCTTCTCTCTCGAGGTGAGCGCGATAGTCTCGGGACTGCCGACAACTTCTCCCTCCCTGAGGTTGCCGAGGGCGAACAAAAGATGGTGCAAATTACTTTGTGCAACAGTTCACCGGGTAATAGAAGAAAAGTTGGAGACGTATGCTCACTGAGGCGAAGTGATATAATGGCGACTGAAGGGGCGGGAGGGAGGGAGGGAGGGAGGTAGGCTCGGAGTCAGTTACGAAAATCACGACGCGCCTCGCGTAATCAGAATTAAAGTACGATAAATCGGAGCGAATTCTATTTAATTCTAGCGCACCGCTTCATCACCATGTGAAAAGAGTCTGATGGGCACGCGTTGCGAAATTACCGTCCCGGCACGATTACAATACGCAAAGCTACGCATACGTTGTAATGGCGACTGATCCACGTATTATTTCGTAGACTCACGCCCGTGAGAATTCGATTGCCCTCTTCTTATTCCTCCTCCTCCTCCTCTTCTTCGTGCTCGAGGGGAGCGAAGGCGCAGGAAGGTGAGTGCGTGTTCCCGAGTACTTTCCAAGGACTCGCTGGAGATGCTCACTAGGTCGTTTCGGAGTATAAGGAAACTGGTGCAGGCCAGGGTGGGGAGGACGTTCCTCCGGTAGAAGGTGTTGCTGCTCTATAGCTATGGCCAGGAGCCACGAGAGTTCAGCCGAGTTACACATAGAGATCGAACTGATGTCTCTAAATGGGAGCCTGAGGGCTGGAGGGACCGAGAGGGCTCTGTGTGAGAACCGCTCCTACGTCATACTCGAGCACTTCTTCTTGTTGCTACAAACTCGAACGAGAGGAGACTGCGAAATGACGCAACGTCCTTCCGTGGCAACGGAGGCGGAGAGTGAGAGAGAGAGACAGAGAGAATTCGATGAAATCTAAAGTGTCCAGAATGCAACGAGAGGTCGAGTCGTGAGTCCATTGAGCCTCCTTCGTGCCTCCTTCGTGCCTCCTTCGTGCCTCCTTCCTGTCTAGGAGTCTACTGTACCTACGGGGGTCGATGTTCGCGTACCGAGAGAGCTCGGACTGTTTCGGACAGAAACCTCGAGTTAGGCCGGTGAATAATGCTGTATAGAAAAAACATAGTTGCGTAAGTTGACGTCGTAAAAGTTACGGCGAAGGCAGCGGGTCGCTATCTCGTAGTAGGATCCAATAATGGGTTGTCCCGAAGCTCCTTATTTTCCATGCGAGTCTCCATGCATCGACAGAAGGGACTGCCGAGTTTTCAGTGAAAAGGCGAAAACCCTGTTTACGCTAACGCGACGTTACGCTGATCTCTTACGGGCGTTAATCGTATTTTGCGCAACCGCCTATTTCCTCCGGGCTGGCAAAATCAGATTGCACTAACGAGATTAGCGGAATTGGCAAGTGCCCGACCGATTGACCCACTCTCTTGCAAATAACAACATATAGACTTCAGCAAAGGCCGATCGCTCGGCCATTCTGTAGGGTCGAATGGTTTTCGATTTCCTTCGCCGATGCATTCCATCGGTCCAGCAGCAGAGGCAGCCTGTGCTGCTGCACCGTAGGTTCCGGTGTAACTGGTTAATGGCGAAAGTGTATGATCTCCGCATCGAAGGAAGATGACTCCTTCCTCTTGGAGAGTGCGAGGGACACGGGAAACGACGGTGAGTCTCGTAGCCCGAGGGCGACTTGGAAAGGAATCGAACGAAGAGAAGATAAAAAAGGCAATGACGTTCCGATGGGACTCGGGACGCCGATCAAGAGGACACACAGCACGTGTAGCGAAGACGAGGCCTCTCATGGCGTAAGGTACCAGCAACGTGTGTAATATGCTTTCTCTAGGAGGTGAAAATTCTTAACTTTCTTCACAGAGTAGAAATGTGCTCGTCCGACGATGATGATGATGATGATAATGATTCTCACGGGAGGCCACGTGGAAGGGACCCAGGGTAATAGAATTCCCCAAGGCTCGAATTTCCGAGCCGAGTACGAGCCGAGTACGAGCCGCCGTCCAGCCTGCTTCGGAAACGACGCAGATCGCGAGCGCAGGGAAGGAGGACGGTAATGAGACACGCGCGGATAAGGTTTATGCTAATCGATGGGAAGTCAAGGCAGGAGGATCTTACCGGGTTTGCCTTTAAACTCTTTAACTCTTTAAACCGTCTACGAGCAAGCCGTCGCTTTCCATCCTGAGCGTCTCCCGCGAATCTAACGGGTGTCTCATATCGCGTATGGCCTCCTGCCTGGAGTCATCGGTAGCAGGACTTTCCCTGCTCGCAGGAAGGAAAAGGTCCTTCTCGTGTTATCGACACGGGGTCAGGGGGAGGCGTGAGGAGTAAAGGCCGCGACGGTGCAGCCGCAAATGCAATCCCGTGCCAGACGGAGCCAATTAGAATCCTGCGTTAAGGATGACTCGTCTGTTAGAGGCTGCAAGATACGGCAGGTGGCTGGAACACGTGTATTCCGTTAATGACGGGTCACTCGGAAGCGATGCAGGATGCGATCGATTCAAGGAAAGAAAGTACTTTCGATAGCAAGTGGAATAGAGGTGCTCGACAGGCTCGTTGAGATTCGTCGCGCGATGAGAACGAGCTCGAGTAGAGGCAAATCGCGACTGGCAAATCGCTTATTCTCGAGCGGTTTGAACTTTACGAGTGCTTCGTGTCGACGTAACACGTGGACTACCCGATAGACCACAGTCTATAGTCTCGAAACTCAACGGGAAGCCACCCAATGCGGAAATGCGCCCATATATTCCGATTGGTCGGAAGAGACTACTGAAGACACAAGTACAGTCACGTAGGAATCTGAGTCACGTAGTAAAACACGTATTGTAGCTACATGAAAACATTTCATAAGCCAATGATCCTATTTACGACACATAATTGCTAGTGAAAATCATCCAGTAATACAGAATAATTTGCAGACCCGTAGGATAATATAAAGAAAATAAAAAAAAATAATTTCGTGCCAGTGAGAATACGCAAATTAACTGCCGTCCCGAAAGCACTGCCGCGACCTGACACGAATGCCTAGATATACGTGGATTAGAAATCTTTCAAAAATCACATGGGCTCTCTTGTTCCACTATCAGTGACTGTCCCTGTGAAAGATTGAAAGTCCGAAATCTACGAGTTCACCTGGTAGGTATTAACGAAATACGGTATCAAAAGGTGCGAAAAGCCTATTACACAGGTATTACCAAAAGAGAAGGTAATCCTAACCTATATACCATCTCGTGAAGTGGAGTGAAATATTTACCTAGCGCGAAGTAGCTAATTCGAGATTACGCGAATGTGTGTCAGGAGGAGCAGGGGGG